CAAAACAAACATTAATTATAAATGAAGAAATTCTGGAAGGTTATTAGGATGGAAGTTGCCTGTATTGCATAGAAAGGGAGTGACCCCTAACTCTACCAGTTGTTGTCATCTGCTTCCCCAAACTTGTTGTTATTGTTGTTCAATTGTTTTCAGTCAAGTCTGACTCTTTGTGACCTCATTTTGGGTTTTCTTGGCAATGGTAGTGAAGTAGTTTGCCATTTCCTTTTCCAGCCCATTTGACAGATGAGGAAACTGAGACAAATAGAATTAAGTGACTTCCTCAGAATCACACAGCTAGTAAGTATTTGAGGCCAGATTTGAACTCAGGAAGGTGGGTCTTCCAGTCTCCAGGCCCAGCACTCTATACACTGTGCCACCTAACTGCCCCATAATTTGTTGTGGTGACATCTAAAAAGAAGCAAGGGAGGGAGAGAGAATGAGGTTTTATGAACCAAATGGTAAAAGCCCAGTCAAATGAAATCCTATGTGTCCATTTGCTGACCTCTCTTCTAATATCCAAAGCCACATCCCAAGGGTGACCATGCCTCCTCCCCTTGCAATTTGTGCCTTTGGATGATATCACTATGGAATGAGGGGAGTTGACTCTATTAATTCACAAACAGTCATGTCTTTCTCTGTTAAGTCCATATGACATCTCTGGATCAAAGTACTCTTGCTAATATCTATCATTCCTACATCTAATGACACATTTGGATAACATTTCTATAATAACATGAACTGCTAGTGGAAGAGTAGACTTTTCCAGACCATTGCCATCCCCATTCCAAAATCTAGAAGGTGTTGGTTTTTAACAACAGAATTCCCAAACGTGTTAGTAGCTGAACAGCCCTGCCCCACTCCACTTCCATTAGTAGGAATGAGGTTTTTATTTTCTTTTTTGTGTGTTCCAGAGGCCTAACAAAGCACGTCTTTTTAATCTCATATATGAATTTGTTCATAGAACAAATTCCAGATGAGACAATCCCCACTATGAATGTAGATCCACAAGTGTTCTTGATTTAAAGTCTTAGACAGTTGCCTGGAATTTAAAGTAACTTGAGAAGTGAAGACCTTGCTCAAAATCTTACAACCAGTATATGGCCCAGACCAGAAGCTCTTTATACACTATTTATCAAAGCACACAGTACAGGTTTAATAATAACTTGTTAAATTAAGTGGACATAAATTGAAACCACCAGGCTGACTGACCACATTAGGTGGTGAGTATAATGGTTTCTTCCTGTAGATTCTGATCATTTTTCTAGAACTCTCAAATAAGTTATTAATTAGAGCCACCTAATGGGTATAGAATTTTGCTCACATTCCAATCTAATGTAGTCATGCTCATGTGGTTGTTAGGTAATTCACATCAAAAACAACTTACAGGGACAGCTAGGTGGCACAGTGGATAGAGCACTGGCCCTACAGTCGGGAGGACCTGAGTTCAAATCCAGCCTCAGACACTTAATACTTACCAGCTGTATGACCCTGGGCAAGTCACTTAACCCTTTTGCCTAGCAAAGAAAACAAAGCGAAAACAAATAAACAACAAAAAAATGCCAGTGGAAAACAAGTAAATAAATATTACATTTTTTAAAATCAGTTCTGAGAAAAACTATTAACTTACTACTTAAAAGTTAAGGTCCCTTAGTCCTAGCCATTGGGAAGCCACATTCAGTTGTGAGTAATCAGTTGTGAGATTGATGGTATCCAAAGAATCATCAGGCTTCCCTTCTCTGTCTAATCGAGGCAATACATAGACATAGACAATACGCAGACAGCTAGTCTACTAGGTAATGCTGTGGGTACAGCAATGGATCTGATGTCCTCAAGAATTGAGACTAAATCTAGGCTCAGATAATTATTAGGTGTGTGATCCTGGGCAAGCCACCTAACCTTTCTAAGCCTCAGTTTCCACATCTGTAAAATGGAGATACTAACAGCACCAACATCATAGGGTTATTGTGTGGAATCAAATAAGATAATGTATATAAAATGCTTTGCAAACTTCAAAGTGCTATATAGAGGCTAGCCATTAAGATAATGATGAATATGATAATGGCATGACTGATAGGAGAATTGTTGAAATGATCTTAGGACTTGGAGCTGGATGAGACCTTTGAGGCAACCTAGACCAACCTTTTCATTTTACTGAAGAAGACATTAAGGCCCAGTGACAGTTCAAGTCACTGAAGTAGCAAGTCTCCTTGTTTCAGGACCAGTGCTCAAAAACCCATGAACCTACACTGACCATCCCCAAACCTCTCGTTGTTTCTTTGAAACAGCCAAATGAATGTGACTCATTCTCTAGGTACAAACATTTCCTAAGATAATCAAATAGATTGGATAGTTAAATAGATAGATAGGGAGAGAGATGATAGAGAGAGATGCAAATATAAGGTGAGCAAATATGTCATGTAAATATTTCCTATGTTTATGAATTATTGGCTTTTAGTCATTGGGAGCATTTTATAGACAGAATAAACACATACACACACACACACACACACACACACACATGCAAGCACAAATACACTCATATACACAATTCCTGATGAAATTAACTGAGTTATAGATATTGAATTTTTTAAAGTGGCCTGTGATTTCATTGATTAAGGGAACTTCTAGGGAGGGACTTCCTCTACCATCAACTCTACTTCCTCTGTATTGTTTTGACATCTCTCACACATCTCAATGCCTGGCACAAAACAGGTTTAATAAATAATGTCTCCTAATTGGTTGTTTGTTCTGCACCTTTGAGTTTTAAGGGCTTGCCTGAGGGAAAGGTGAAAGGTTCTTGATGAGGGTAAAACAGTCAATGCTGCTCAGAGCCAGACCTTAAAGTCAGGTTTTCCAGAGTCTTAGCCCGGCTCTCTCTATCTATGGCTATTCTGTACAGGTTACCCCCAAATCTAGCCTACATACTGCAAATAAAATGTCATATTCCCTATTCTGTAGAAAATGTTATTTTAAGATGTACATGAAGAGATTCTCAAAACTGAAATCCAAGAAAAGTTGTAGTTGCAATCTAATGAATCAAAATATGTCAGTATGTTTTATATGCATGTATATCTCCCAGTAATGAGAGGCAGCATTTTATAGTGTCAGAAAAGTCATTTTGGAACAAGGAAGATTAATTTCAGGTATTAACTAATCTGCTAATTTTTAAAAATGTTGATTTTTTTGTCTTTTCAATGCCTGTTTCCCTCTGTATCCATTCATCACCCCTGTCTAGAAAGTTGAACTCATATAAAAGGAAGGAAAAAAGGAAGGAAAAAAAAACACCAAAACTTACCAACATAGCAGAAAAGTATGACATTCTATGCAATGTGGAACACTCGGGGTCTCCCACCTCTTCAGTCATGAGGAGGCAGGGGAGGGAGAAGGAGGAAGGCAACGTCTTCTTGGATCTCTCCTTTGGGTCAAACTGGGGCAGTGTAATTTTGCAAAATCAGTTCAGATTATTTTGTTGTTTTTGTTTCCATTTATGTTATCATCATTATTGTGCTTATTTTTCCTGGTTTTATTTATTTCATTTTATATAAATTTCTATAAACTTTCCAATTCTTCTCTGTATCTATCATATTTGTTGTTTCATACAGCACAGAAAGATTCTATAGCACTCACAGACTACAATAAGTTTAGCCATTCCCCACGTAATGGTTTTGGGGAGTCTGTGTAGCATAAGGGAGAGGAAGCCTGAGTCAAGTCCTATTACTGACACATACAGACTGTGAACTCTCTACAACTCATGTGGACATTGAACCTCGTCACTTCCCAGAGGCCATGACAGTGAGCCAGCCAGGGAGGCATAGTAAACTGAAGTGTGTGTGTGTGTGTGTGTGTGTGTGTGTGTGTGTACATACATACATACATATATACATACACATACACACACACACATATATATGTGTATATATATATATACATACATATATATATGTATATACCCATATATTCAAATGAAATGAGGAGAGGAGAGGAGAGGAGAGGAGAGGAGAGGAGAGGAAGAGGAGAGGAGGAGAGGAGAGGAGGAGAGAGAGAGGAGAGGAGAGGAGAGGAGAGGAGAGGAGAGGAGAGGAGAGGAGAGGAGAGGAGAGGAGAGGAGAGGAGAGGAGAGGAGAGGAGAGGAGAGGAGAGGTAGAGACCTATTTTATTAGACCTATGATTTTACCAGTTTATAGAGGTCCTAGTAGGAAACTTAGAGTTTTCCTGAAGCAAGAAGACACTAAGTGACTTGCCTAGGCCCATACAACCAAGATGTGTCAGAAGCAGGACATGAACCTAAGTCTTCCAGAAAGCCTGACAATTTCAATGTGGAGAAATATAGAAAAAATATAAAGAATATGGCTATAAACAATATCTCCCTAAAGACACACATATTTAACATAGATATAGGTGTGGGTATAGATATTGTTATTCATAGAGGTACAGCTATAGATATCCATTCATGTAGGTAGAGGTAGATTTTGGTCAATGATCCTGAAGAGAAATCAAGCTGTAGCTCAAATAGGTTTATGGAAATGGAAAAGTTTGAAAATTACAGCAGGTAAGGTACCACTAGAATTTATCTAGTCATATATTGGAATAAAATGCATTACTGCCAGCCAGTGTTACCCCAGTGGGGTGGGGAGGTCAGTATTGAGAGTAGCCGATCTATGGACTTTAAATAATTAAGTAATAAACCCTATCACTGAGCTGCTTTCTTTAAAAAAAAAATAGTAATGAGGAGCAGCTAGGTGGCACAGTGGATAGAGCACTGGCCCTGGAGTCAGGAGGACCTGAGTTCAAATCTGTCCTCAGACACATAATACTTCCTATCTGTGTGACTCTGGGCAAGTCACTTAAACCCAAATGCCTCCCTAAAGAAAAAAAAATAATAGTAATATAATAGTAATGAATGTCCTTAGTAACCCACGGTGTCCCCCTTTTATAGTCTATAAAAAATAAGGTTGTTCACTTGAGTATGCAACAGAAACCTATTCTTTTTTCCCTCCCAGGCAACTCAGCCAAAGTGTACATTGAGGTTCAGGATGAGAATGATCATGCTCCGGTCTTTCAGAAAAAGTTGTACATCGGAGGAGTGTCTGAAGAAGCACTGATGTTTTCCTCTGTGCTCAGAGTAAAGGTATGAGGTTCTAGAATAAGCCAACAAATGTAAAGTGAATCACATCAAATGGCTGTGGACCTTAATGTTAGAATGTCATCAAGACTATATTCACTAAGCGACGCTCTGGCTCCGAAATGTTTCTAGAGTTGACTCTTATCTACTTACTATGGAACCTAAATCATCAGTAACTTTTCATTGCTTCTATTTCCACATCCATAAAATGGGAACAAGTATTTAGTTTATGATATGTTCAGGTAACATTAATTTTCATGTAAATGTCGATACCAAGAAAAATATTATATTGAACTCCTCATTGACCATAAGAGAGAGAAGAAATATATTGATGTACCTGTTCTTTTGGGGCAGGGTGAGAGAATGTGAGATTAAACATTCAAATGCATGTTCTTTTCTGGTGTGATTTTAAGACACCTCATCTAGCTCTCAGCTCTATTGTTAATATCCTTGGAGTATAGTGGTCCTTTAATAGCTATAATGGGCAAGAAAAGGTGCAGAAACAACAAAAAGCAAACGAACAAAAATCAGCATAAGACATGATACTTTTAGAACAGGGAAGTTATAATCATTGAGAAAGACCTTTAAAAAACTGGAGAGAAGGAAAAGAAACACAGAGTCTCCACACTGGAAGAAACCTGAGAGGTCATCTCGTACAACCCATAACTGTACAAGAATCCCTTCTTTATCCAATATGACAATAATTTCCAACATCCTCAGGAGCCTTCAATCAATGAGGAAGATTTTCTATAAATTTATCTTAAATTTCTTTCTTGACAAGTCCTACCCATTGAACCTTATTCTGCCCACTGTCACTAAGAAGAAGTCTGATCCTTCCTTTAAGTATCTGAAGACAATATCATATCCTTTTCCATCTACCAAAGAAATTAGAAAGCAAGAGAAAAAGCAGAGATAGATTTGTGATGGTGATATGGGCAATCAGAATCTGAGGAAAAGCCAGAGTGAATATAAACCATGGGTTCTTAACTTGGGTTCTATGGACAGATGTAAATGAGTGACTCTGAATTTTCAACAAATTTTAATAACTGTATTTCCATGTATTTTATTTAATCTATTAAACTACTTTTTTTCTTTTATGCATTTAAGAACCTGATTCTGAGAAGGGATCTCTAGGTTTCGTCAGGTTGCTAAAGGGAAGGAAGACATAAAGGAGTCTACTCTACAAGATATTAATAGCTAATAATATTAATAATAATTAGCAATTTATGTTTATAGCAATTTGGATGAAAAAGTAAGAGAAGGCACTTAAATAAACAGTTGACTATGACAAATAAGAAATGGATAAAAATAAAGCCATGAGTTAGATACTAGCACAGGCTTTTCTGACTTTTTAGAGAAATTTAACTATTATAAAAGTTACCATAACACAAAGAGGCCAAAGTCAGCCATTTCCTCAACCAATGAACACTTAAGTTCTTTGCTAAGAGGAAAGATATGACAATCAAGGGCAATGCTTATTTAACATATAATATCACACAAAACCTTACAAAAGAGAGTGAAGGGAGATTTGGGGAGTATTGCCTAACAAAACAATTAAAAATAGGGGAAAGAGAAAAGAGAGGAAAAGAAAGTTTGATGTCTCAAATGAGTAATTTTTATCAGTTGAATAATTTTTATAAACGAACCTAGAAGACGCTAATGAGAAGTGAAGTGAAACAGATTCTCCATCTTTGTCCACAAATAATGAGAAGAGAACATCTACACCATTCACTTCAGTACCCTGTGTGATGAATGAAGAAGTGGAAATAACACATAAGAAAATGAAATCAGGGAAAGTTTTCAAACAAAACCAAGTACATATAATCAATGAACCAGTCAACAAACATTTCTTAAGTATACACTATATGCCAAAATCTGTGTTAAACATTGGGGATATAAAGTAAAAATGAGATAGCCTCTACCCTCAAGAAGCTTACATTGTATCATGGAATATAACCAGTTCTTTTGAAGTGTGAAGAAGGGACTCTGTTTTGAAGGTGGAAGAATGTTAAAAGCATGGGAGATTCAATTTTTAAGAAGGGAAGATACAAAAAATTCAAAAAGTCATGTAGAATATCACTGCCGAGAAAAAGCAATCAAGATAACATTAACATGCACCCATCAGTATGCCTGCTTTCTGTATCTGTAAATCTGCACGGAAAGGTCTATGTACAGGTTAATGGAATCATTGATGAAAACATGAGAAGGGGAAAATAGGCTTCTTAAGATTATTTTCTATAGCAGACTATATCCTCAGATTCACATAATTGACAAGTATAGATAATGAATTATTTTATGTGATATGTGTATATGTTTGATCAAAGATTGGAGGAAGGAGAATCTGTTATAATATAGAATTCCTAATGGGAAAGAAAGAGAGAGAAAAAACAGAGAAAGAGGGAAACAGGGAAAGAGATGAAGAAAGGAAATAAAGAGGAAAAGAAAAGAAAAAGCAAGAAAGAAAGCAAGGAAGGAAGGAAGAAAAGAAGGAAGGAAGGAAGGAAGGAAGGAAGGAAGGAAGGAAGGAAGGAAGGAAGGAAGGAAGGAAGGAAGGAAGGAAGATAACATGTCTACTATGTGCTAGGTGTTGTGCTAAGTGCTTAGGATACAAATACAAGCAAACAAGCCCCTGCCTTTGAGGAGCTTACATTTTAAAGGGAGCGTAAACACAACACCTAGAGCAGAACTAGAAATATGGGGGAAAGGTGTCCCACACTGACAAGTGACAAGGAGAAATACAAAGAATGAGTCCATGCATGAGTGAGGTAAAGCATGGCTGAGGTACTTCTAGCTGTTTTTCAGAGTAAGTGCTGTCTAGATTCTCAGAGTATTAAGTAAAATTTAACCTGTAGTTTGATATTCTGTTCACGGTCCTCTTCTAAACATGGATTTTGGTCCAGCACATTTATTCTGTTCTGGCAACAGGCAGACCATAATAGCTAGCATTGAAGCAAGTCAGGTTGAGAATCACAACCATACTTTCAATTAGCCAGCTAACTATGGGATTGTTTTAAATGTACCATACCCCAGTAGACATTATTTCAGAAAAACCCTGTCCCTCTGTCTCTGGCCCACACCCAATTGTAGCAGTAAAAAAAATCCCCAAGGTAATATGATGAGGGGAGCAGCAATGCATTCAAAATCAGAAAACCTGTGTTTAAAATCTGGCTCTTCATGTAAACTTGACCAAGTTACATCAGATCTCTACCTATCAATTTCCTTGTATGCAAAAATTAGGCAGTTGTAGATCTCTAAGGTCCATTTTTTCCTCTTCATCTTGTGTTTCCTCTCTCTTTGGTCCTGTGACTTATTTTGTCCAAAAAAAGCTGAATTTGGCAGGAACAACAAAGGAATTTTTCAGGTCAGCTCAACTTTACTGAACACCTGTGATGTGTCAGGGCCTTTGCTAGGTTCTGGTAATACAAGAAAAAAAAAGAAAAAAGAATAGATCTTGCCCTCAAGAAAAGGTTGATATATCCAACCCAGTCAATTTACAGATAAGAAAACTGATGTCCAGGGAAATGGCTTACTCAAAGCCACCCAGCTTTGTGATAGGAAAATTATAGCTACATTCCAGATATCCTTACAATCCTATGCACTATTCACTTCACCATGCTTCCTTGTGTTAACCCCTAAATCTCTTAATCTGCTTTGTTTCTCTTCCTCTTCCTGAGCAGTTATTTATTTAAGTACTTCTATCCTCTTTGAGGCTATGAAAAGTTTCCCAAACAAACGAATTTTCTACCAATACAATCTTTTTCCATTTATTTTTCATAACTAGAATATATCTAACCAGGATTTTAAAAAAACCCACTATTTTCAACAGATAAGGATAATTAATACCATCATGACTTAGGACCTAAAGTCAAACTTTAGGTATTTGGCAAGAACACCATATGGATTCAATATCATTGTGATATTTGAAGAATATTAATGTAGATTAAAAGTTAAATCTCATATTGAAACTAGCTAATAAAACATTCTATGTTATTTTTATTTTATGCTTTTTGTTGTTCTCTTGAATTTATGACAGAGGAAATGCAAGGTATCCACTTGTGAAAAATTGGATGAAAATACAATTATGATTTTGATTTGTAAAAATTCAGATAAAAATAAACAATTGATCTAAAGCTTCAAGAGGTTAGCGAAACCCACACAGGTGTTAGCGACTTGCCTGACATCATATGAGCTAGGATGTGATCTTGGGTCCAGTGACTCCAAACTCAAAGCTCTTTCCATTGCACTATGATACTATGACAAATGCAAGTGTGTTCACAAGATCTGTCTAGTTCATTTTAAGCCTTGTTTTTACAAAATTTTATGTCACAATCTAGCATGTATTAATTCTACTATGTGGCAAGCACTATTTTAATGTGTTTGGTTGGATGCTGCCCATCATTCTCTAAGAGGACTGTAATGACATCATTATGTTGGGGTCGAGGTACTGTGTGTGTGTGTCTGTGGCTGATCAGATCAATATGAGCTTAGAAGGCTCTACCATAGAATAGGCACAAATAGTCTGTATGAACATTTGGAGGGGAGACATCTCTAAATGGGTGCATCTCATATTTTCTTTGATCTACTGCAATTCTGCTTTTCTCATAGAGCACAGCTCCTTATTGGATGTGGGCACACCATGCAAAACCTAAAGTCAGAATGAACTGGGTTTAAATCCAGCCTCAGACAGTTACTAACTATGTGACCCTAAACAAGTCACTTGACCTCACATGCCCTAGTTTCCTCATTTGATGATCTCTAAAGGCCCTTCCAAATCTAAAATCTATGTATGTAAAAAATATATGCATGCAAATCATATATATATATGTATATATATAATATATATATACATATATGTATATGTATATACATATATATATATATATGTAAGAAAAGACAGAATTTTTAAAATAGCATGAAACAATTTCAAAACAGAATAAGGACTGAAATGAGGGGCATAGGCAGGAGGTATTACAAAAAAGTAAAATATAGGGTCAGCTAGGTGGTGC